GTTACCATAAAAGTACTTTTCTTCCCGACGGAAGAAAATTGGCATCACACGATCTGGGGCAAGCGGCGGGGGAGACATGCCCAAGCAGCAGACTCAACTGGACGCAGTCATGCGCCAGAGGAAGATTGTGAACGGGGCCAAGTACTGGTGGTACTTCAAGACCACCATACTGGAGCGGCCTCACGTACGGGCTGAGTTCAGCAGCGCAGCCCCCCTCAGCATACTGAGCGCTGAGTCGCCTTTACGCACATGTTTTTTTCTTTTTAAAACAAAGCGACGTTGCTCGTTGTGGCCACTCCTTCCTCAAAAAAACAAAGGGCCAAGCCAGAATGAAGCAGATGCTCACGAGCATTACATGAAAGAGATTGAATGTGGACCGCGTGGTGCTCACAAGGAGGGCGTGCCAGGAACGACACGGTCGAACATGTGGGCCTTGTCCAGCGGACTAGAGAGCAACCACTGGCCGCCCATATCCCACGAGAGGGCCATCGCGCCTGCGCCGCCGGTGTCGTTGAAGAAGTAGCCAACGGCAAGAAGGGCGCCCCAGTCCGAGTTGTAGGCCAAGCCCGTCCAGTCAGTGTTGGAATGGGCAAAGGTGCGCGCCCACGTCTTGCCGCCGTCGGGCGTGCGCCAGATCTGTCCGCTCTGGGTGGCCACCACCCAAGTCTGCCGGTCGACGAGCACAACGCCGGACCCTGCGGCAAAGGCCGCGTTCGGGTTCAACTGCCAAGTCGCCCCGGCGTTGGTGGAGATGAGCACCATGCCCCCTCCCCGTGAGTTGGCGGTGGTGGCCACGGCGAGGGACGAGTCAAGCACCGCCACCGACGTCACCAACCCGCTTGAGGCATTCCAGGCACTGTTCACCCACGAGCGCCCACCATCAACGGACCTAAAAATGTAGTCGCCCAGCACTGCACAGTTTTGGATATGAGTGAGTGCGTGAGTGAATGAGTTAGCGCAATACAGAGAGAGAGAGAGAGAGGGGAACAAACCGCAGAGGCCGAGGTCGCCAGAAGAGGAAAAGGAGATGGAGCCGCTGGTAGAATAGGTGTGACGCTGACTGGGCCAGGAGGTCCACCTGAAGCCACCGTCCTCGGAGCGAAAGAACACAACCTCAGGCCAACCAGTCGACCCGTTGACACCGACCGCCATGAGTACCTGAATCGCCGGACAATTAATTTCATCATTCTAACCATGAAGCAGGGAGTAACATACGCCGGTGGTGGGAACGTAGGTGGCGTCATAAATGGTGATGTCGGGGTGAAAGTTGAAGGCGAGTTCAAAGGGGCGGTGTGCTTGCCTATGCACTGCGACAGTCTGCGAACCAAACACAACGAAGCTTCCACCAGGCTTGGAACTGGCCACCACAGAGACCACCCTCTGGTGCAGCAGAAGATTGCCCACCACTGCGCTGGGGGAGAAGGTCACCAGCGAGGTGGGGTCTTCAAACACGCACAAGTCACGATCGGCCATCACCGAGAACAGCCCAGGCCTGGGCGCGGAGTGGACCCCACAGGCCAGGGTGAGCACTACAAGGGAGAAGCAGAGGAAGGGTGTATTCAGGCTCATCGCGTGGAGTGAATAAAAAAAACTGCCTGGGGTAAAATAAACCAAACTTGCTAGAAGCTCAAACTTGTGGTCATTTGAAATGAGAGGTCACAAATGACCGTGGAATTTTTGTTGTGCTAAAATCGTGTGAGATTTGACATTTTTGATTTATAGGGCAGTTTGGAAGATTTGGATCTGCACATGTGATTTTGACATGCTAGACTGCTGCATATAAGTGATATTGAGAGACTTGAGATGAAAATGATTTCATAAAAACTAGGAATTTGTGGAGTTAAAAGTGATTTTAGCAGCATGAAATGGAGTGGAATTTTAACTTCAGGAATAGTGCTCTAATTCAGCACAAATGTGAAGAATGAAGTTCTGTCTGTGAGTGCAACTGACTGAATATGGTGTGAGGTTGTACATGAACCAGAAGTGAGGGCACCATGTTGGCCACTGATAATGGAATTGATGGAGGGGGTGAAAGCAAAAGCAAGGTGCATTTTGAGGTTGTTCCAAGTAGCACTGACAAAAAACCAGGTAGAGTCAGATTTTACTTTGCGCCAACATGTCTGTGATAAACAAAGAAATGGTAGTTTGAATGTAGACATTGCATACACATACACAATAGAGTAAGCATCCAGTTTTACAGTTTTTGTCATTGCATATGTGTACATGATAAAACTTTTGAGATGGGTTGGAGTGAGCACTTGTCATGGAGGTTCAAAAGGTACATCAAGAGGTTCACCCAGTCAGCCCAATGTGCCATACATGGGGCGCTGTAACAAACCTCAGGTGCTGTGTGCAATACACAACACCAACAACTTACTTCCTTCTTTTTCCTCCTGAGCAGCTCATGATCAGGCAGTTCTTCAGTGCAGGTTGGGCTAAGGTGACTGGAGTCTTTGTCCAGATCAGGCCAGTCTTTCCACATGCTAAGAAGCTGTGACTGGAGCACAGGTCTCATCTGGTTGTTGAGATCCAGTGACACATCTGCACACATGAGGGAATTGTAGGAGACAGAGGTGGGTGGGTCAGCAGTCAAGTGGTAAGACCCATCCATTGCTTCATCCAGCCAGTCTAGGAAGATGTGTGCACAGGTAGTGTGACTGCTGGACCACACCAAGCCACACAGCTCCTTTCTCACCAGCAATTGCCACAATGGCTCCATCATCTGGCTTCACTGATGTCAGCTCAAGTGTAGCACTTCCAGTGAGACTGATGGAAGCATTGATGGGCTGATCCAATGGCTCCAGGTCAGAGAGAAGGTCATTCTGAGCATGTTTGTACCCATAAACCCAGCCAAATGGGTCACTGGTGAGCTGCTCTGGAGGTGGCCTATTGAAGAGAGAGACAAGATCCTGGTAGGATTTCTTCATGGCCTGGGCATTGTTGAGCTCAGTGAGGGCAGAGAGGGTATCCTTGAGGATGGTGGTATTGAGCTGAGCCAGGAGAA